CTGGATAAGATCAGTGAAGAGTAACCATGGCATAGCTTGAATGGCAGCCTATTTTGGAATTTCTTCTGTCAAACAAATAGTCCATTGTTACTGAATTCAGTTTCACTCAGGTTCTCATAACAAGGGCAGAATGTAGCCAGATTCTTTAAAAAAATTATTTCACATTTCATTGTATGTGTTTTGCTTCCATGTAAGTTTGTGAACCACACACATGGCTGGTGCCTCAGAAGAAGGCACTGGGTCCCCCAAGAACTGGTGTTACTGACAGTAGTAAACTGCCATGTGGGTACTTGGAAAGCAACCAGTGCCAGCCCTGTAGCAAGATTCCCTACTGTATTACAACATGAATGACCTCTAGCTCACTTCCCAAGAGAGGTGGGTTTTGTTTGTTTGTTTGTTTGTTTGGTTTTGTTTTTTGAGACAGGGTTTCTCTATGTAGCCCTGACTGTCCTGAAACTAACACTATAGACCAGGTTGGCCTCAAACTCACAGAAATCCACCTGCCTCTGTCCTGAGTGCTGGGATTAAAGGTGTGTACCACCACTGCCCAGCCCCAAGGAGTTTTGATCCCTGCTGAAACCTCATGAACTGAGCCTCCACTGCCCACATGTCTCTCAGTAGGATACTGTCCAAATTCCTACTGCCATGGTCCATCACTCTCTGCTTACAGCAGTCTAGATGGAAGTTCAAAACTCATCCCCATTCCCCTTTCAGAACCTGCGAACCTGATGAGCTGGATTTACTGCCCCAAACCTTCGAGCCACACAGACAGATTTGTCACAGCACTGACTTTATTCTTGACACCAGTTTTGCATATTGGTTTCTTTTCTTGCTGAGACAAAATGTCCGATGAAGGCAGCTTCAGGAAGGGAGGACTATTTTGGTTCACAGATTAAGAGTGCAGTCCTTCGCAGGGTGGTGGTTGCACACCTGTTGTTATTTCTCTTCGTGGAGAACTACAGGACCATGCAGGTGCTGGGAATTGAACCTGGGGCCTCTGGAAGAACATCCAGTGCTCTTAACCACTGAACCATCTCTCAAGACTTACATGCCTTTAAACTGTATTCATCTATCTCCTTATTTATCTGTGGGCATGCACATGGCATGTGTGCAGAGGTCAGAAGGCAACTTGTGAGAGTCAGATCTCTCCTTCTATCATGGGGACCCTGGGCAGCAAACCCGGCTCATCAGGTTTGGCAGCAGGCCCCTTCCTTGTTGGTCTTTTGTATCTTAGTGTGCATGTTCCAGTAAGTTCAATTAAGGTTGCTTGCAGAAGCATGGGTAAGAGGTTATTTTTAGGAGTGTGTGCATATTACCCATGGCTATCCCACTGAGGGAAAGGTCTCCTCTCTCCCAGCAGCCAGGAACTGCCTATAGATCATCAGGAAGGTGTGAGGCCCCGTGTACCCCTCCCACTCCATGGCTGGATGTTGTCAGGCCGGATATTGTGCAGGCCTTAGGCTGGTAATCAAAGCTGTTTTGAGTTTGAAAATACAATAGCCATGTTCTGCCTGAAGGACACCATTCCACAATAATCCACTCCTTTACCTGCCTCTTGTAGCCTTTCTGCCCCTTCTCCATGAGCCTTGTAGGGAGTGGTATAAAAATACCAGTTGGACCAATTATGAGCACCCACAACTATGATTGACCACTGCTATGGAACGATCATTTTGCATACTTTAAAGATTTGTCACTCAAACTGGTTTAATAAAAAGCCGACTGGCTGATAACCAGACAGGAGGTATAAGTGTGACAACCAAAGTAAGGATACTGGGATGAAGAAGGGTAGAGTCAGAGGAGACGCTGGCAGATGCAGAGGAAGCAGGACATGTAGAAAATGAGGGGTAACAAGCCATGAGCCAGTTGGCAGAGTGTAGATAAGAAATATGGTTTAATTTAAAATGTAAGAGCTAGCTAGTAACAAGCCTGATCAAGCTGGTCAAGCTTGAGAATAGCACTAATTTGTAGGCATAAAAATAAATATCTAGAAAGCAATTTGATGGGCCCATTGGATCATGCCTTGTTCTGGTTAGTTTCATATCAAGTGGACATTAATCTGAGTCATTGGGGAAGGAGGACTTTCACTGAGAAAATGTTCTCATCCATATTGCCTGTAGGCAAGTCTTCAGGGCATTTTCTTGATTAATAATTGATGCAGGAGGGCCCAGCCTACTGTGGGTAGTGCCACCTCTGTGCCTGTGGTCCTGTGTTGTGCAAGAAAGCAGTTACAGTCATGAAAATGAAGGCAGTAAGCAGGATTCCAACATGGCTTCTGCTTCAGCTCCTGCCTCTAGGTTCTTGCCACAACTCCGTTCAATTACCTGGTAGTATAAGATAACGTAAGCTGCCTTTGGTGATTGTATTTCATCACAGCAACAGAAATCCCAACTAAGACACCCCCTAAAGATCTATGTCCTCCGTAGTTCAGGGTTTTGATGGGTTCACAGTGTCATGAGTTCCTTCCTGTTATGTGGATTTCATAATCAATCAGAAATGAGTTGGTTATCTCCCTAACAAGCTTGCCACTATTGCTTCAGTGTATATATCTTGCCTGCTCAGTCATTAATCTATCATCCTGTCTTAGTTGCTTTTTTGGTGCTGTGATAAAACACATGACCAAAGCAACTTTCAGGGGGGGGGGCGGGGGAAAGCTTATTTTAGTTCCTAGCTCCAGAGGGTTGGAGTCCATAATGACGAGAGAAGCATGATAGCATTAGGCAGACAGGATGGCTAGAGCAGGAATCTGACAGCTTGCGTCTTGAACTCTCTAAGCACAAGGGAGAGAGCGCAAACTGGGTGTAGGCAAGACTTTCAAAGCTCAAAGCCTGCTGTGTTTCTTCCCAGCAAGGCTGCCCCACCCCCTAAGCCTCCCTAAACAGCTGGGGACCAAGTGTTCCAATGCTGATACTATGAGAGATCCTACTCATTCAAACTGCCACACATGCCGGTTCAACAGGTGAGCGAGACAGCGCCTGCAGCCCTGTTAAGGTTACCCAGTTGGGAAGAAGCTTCCAGTTAGTTTCAGCCTGAACTTCCTCCTTTTCATTCAGCAGGGAAACTCCAGAACAGAGAATAGTGCCATCTACATTTAAGGTGACTCTTTAATTCTTGGCCCAACCCACAGACACACTCAGATGTGTGTTTCCATGGTAACTGTAAATCAAGGAAACAGTTTATGTTAACCACCACCCCAACTAAGATACTCTGTGTGACAGTAGTGTTGTCAACTTGACATCCTTTATCACCTAGGAGATGGGCTGTGAGCGTGTCTGTGGCCTGTTTTAGAGACAGTTCCATAAACTTCTGTGTTTGCCCGGAATGCCCTGTAAATGTCTGTTAAGTCCATTTGGCCAGTGATGCCATTTAATTTTACATTGTAAGAAGGTAATGTTAGGCCCATGGATGGTGGCACAGGCCTCTCCCAGCACTTGGAATGCAGGAGCCTGCAGACATAGTAGTTATAGGGCACCCTGATCTGTGCAATGAGTTCCAGAACAGCTAGGGCTACCCACAGAAACCCTGTCTTGAAAACAAAACAGAACAAAAAAAAAGAATCAAATGTTAGAATCCAGTGGCTGTTAAGACCAAAATACCTTATAGCAGTCTCTTCTCTTTAAGCAGCCCTCCCTTAGAGCAGCCCCCCTGCTTCTCACAGATACCAACAGGCACCCCACTGAGCACATTGCTTGTTAGTCTAGACTGAACTGAGGCTGCCAGGCCCTGTGGTGAGGATGGTGGCAAGATTTTTACCCACTGAGGCCTCCCATGGTCCATTGAGTGACCTTCTCTATCTTTCCTCACTAGTTTTGGTTTGAAGTCTCCTTTGTCAGATAATAGAACAGCAACACCTGCTTGCTTGTGTCCCAGATCCATTTACTTAGAATACTCTTAAAAGTCTCTGAATTAACATTTTATTTATTTGTGTGTGTGCGCGTGTGCTTGTCTCGACATTGTGTGGAGGCCAAAGGACAGCTCTCTCCTTCCATCGTGTTAGTCCTGGTGACCAAACTCAGGCTGTGAGGCTTGGCAGCAAGTGTCTTTACCCACTGAGCTGTCTCACTATCCCCTGAAATACTCTTATCTATCATTTCACCCTCAGGTTGTGCCTGCCTTTTGTAGTGAGGAATTTCTTGGAGGTAACAAATAGATGTTTCTAGATATTTGTTCCAATCTACTAGCCTGTGCCTTTGCTTTGGGGGCACAATTGAGACCAATAAGATTCAGAATTACTAAAATGTATGTGTTGATTCCTGCCATTTGTTGTTGTTTTTTTTTTCCCTCTCTTCCTTTCTTAAATATTAGTCTATCTTGTTTTCTTTTGTTCTGGGCCTTGTGGACTGACTTCTTTCCCCCTATTCAGTCTGAGGTTTCTAAAGGCGTTTCTGTATAGTGCTTATGAATTCCTTTATCTTATCTTTACTGTGGAAAGTTTTTCATTTTTCCTTCCTTTATAACAGATAGCATTCTGGGTCCAGTAGTCTGGGCTGTCAGTTGTTTTCTTTCACAACTTGAAATAGATCTCTGCACACCCTTGGGCTTTTACCTTTTCTGTGGAATGGATAATCTTGTTATTCTGACTGGCCTGCCTTTATATGTTAATCATTGTTTTTCTCTTGCAGCTGTCAATATGTTGGGGGGAGGGACCCAGAGCCCATACCCAGCTTTCTCCTTTTCTACCCCAACTTCCCCTCCACCCCCTACTCCCACAGCCTGACCCCTTCTATCTGCTTCTTATCTGAACTTTGGCTCCTCAGTTGGGAGTTTTATCTACAGAATCTGACCTAGTGGGTCCAAGTAGGGCTGGATTCTTTGTTTCTGGAAGTCGTGTCTCCACCCAGAACTTGGGTTCTGCGAGGCTGTGCAGCTGGAGAGCAGAGACTCTGGGTTGTGCACTGAGAAATTCTGCTCTACTGTCCCCCGCCTGCCACGGAGAGGGCCTGGGGAGGGAACTAGAGGTTGTAAACTGGGGGTCTTAAGACACCTTTGTCCTGGCTCAGATAGAAGGTGTTGAACCCTCAGGATCTCATGCTTGTCCAGGCAGATGACTCTGAGTTGGCTAGGTCTGCTCTGGGTTGGCTCCGCCCCATCGCTTTGGTCTCTTGCCCAGGGCTGGGAGGAGTCAGCTAGGCCTGAGGGCGATCATTGGCTCAGTCCAGATCATCAGCCCACACAGTCAGAAGCCAGGAACTAAACCGTTTCCAGAGAAGAAGAGAGGAGGTCTTCTCGGACTCATTGCTCCAGAGAGAAGGTGCCAGGCTCGGGGACACGAGGAAGGTCTTGACTGGACAGTGGAGGCTCTGTTTAGAGCTGGGGTGGCTCAAGGGCTCTGGAGGCCCGTGGTTTCCCCGTTACCAGGCCACTTCTCTTGCTTCAGTTTGGACCAGTCTAGACTCTGAACAGTTCCCAACTGTCTGTCACTCTCCTTCCTCTCCTCTCTCACTGTCTCTCCTGCATTGTCCCGGTGTCCCTTCTCCTTGACCTATTGTAGTCCTCTAAGTCACTCCCCCTGTCCAGTGACCCTGGCAGTCCACCGCTGTCTCCCGGGCCTCAGAATCTCACCCTCTGCCCATTTGCCCTGCAGGATGCTACAGCTGAGCCTGTCCTGGCTGGGACTGGGGCCCGTGGCTGCCTCCCCATGGCATCTCCTGTTGCTGGGTGGAGCCTCCTTGTTCCTGGCCCGAATTCTGGCCTGGATCTATGCCTTCTATGACAACTGCCGCCGACTCCGCTGCTTCCCTCAGCCCCCTTCATGCCACTGGCTTTGGGGTCACTTGGACATTGTGAGTATGGCAGAGAGGTGGGTCCTGGGGTGTCCGGATGAATGTGTTCTCACAGGGTCAGGAAATGTTCCTAGGAATCTAGGGCGAGGGGCCAGCAACAGTAGAGATGGGGAAGGCTGAAGGAGTCCCTCTCTGTTCACACACCCAGCAGATCCTTTCCTTACCTCTGTCCACGTCATGTTCTGAAGCTTTCTTTTTTTGCCCCTCTTGTCCCTAGCTAACTTTGGGTCACGTTCTCATTAAGACTCATGGTCTGAGGTCTCTTCCGGTCTTTTGTTCAGTCCTGTTCCGTGTTGTAGTTAGATGCCCCCAGGACAGGTTGCAGAGGCCGGAGTTCCCTTTTCCTCACGTTTGCTGTCCTTAGTTTCCACTGTTGGGTTTCCACTGTGGTGGAAGAGAGGGGGATTGCCATGAACTTGAAGTCAACTTGGATTACATAGTGAGTTCTTGTCCCATCTCTGTTGTCCTCAGGCCAGTGTCTGTACCTCTCTGAGCTGCCTCTTCCCCTGTGGGAATGAGCTATGATCTTTCCTCCTCCACCAGGGGCTCAGTTTCTGAAGAGAGACTCTCCAACTCTTCAGGCTCTGTCCTTTCTTATCTAGCTCTCCATTCTAGTTCTCCTGTCACATCTCATTTCTCTTCCTCTCTATCTCCTAGTCCAGGAGCTTCCTTTCACTCCATCTGTATTAGGCAGGGTTTTCCCAGATGAATGGAACCATATACATCACATGTTCACATGACTAGAGTGGTGTACAATCGATAGGGACGGGGAAGTCCAATCATGGCTACGGCTTGCCCAGGAGCTCCTCAGACCATGAAGCTATGGCTCGCCCAAGAGCTCCTCAGACCACGAAGCTACTTGCCTTAGCAGTTTCAGTGTGGTGCTGAAGGCCTGAAAGGTTCAGGGAGAGTTTCTGATCTCCCATCAGAAGCTGAGTTCTGATGAAGAGAAGCAGTCACAACCAGGAAGCGAAGGCCCAGGGGTCAAGCAGCAGGTTTGACCTCAGACTTAAACCTGTCAAAAGGCAATGCCCACTCTCAGGGAGGGTCTTCTCCCCTCAGTTGCTCTTTCTAGGGAATTCCCTCACAGATGGTCTCTTATTTAGTTCCAGATCCTTCCAAGTTGACAGTGGAGACTGACCATCGGAAATACCACATTTTGTCAACTTGATACCTTACCATGTTATTATGTTGTGCTTAATCACCAAATGAAGATACAAAGTCTCAATCCCACCTAATATCATCTAACTATTATTTCTCCAGAGTAGATGGCAAAGTTCCTTGAGGAATGCCTAACTACCGATGTTATTTCAAGCAATGTTGCATTACATGGTAAAGGAATATGAGAGAAGAAAAAAAAACATAAATACCTGTGTATTTACGCAAAAACATACCCTTAACAACATAGGACAGAAACACTCATGATAGTTATAACCATTGTTTCTGTAACTGCTCATATGGTCTTAGCTGGTATTCACTGCTATTTTCCTCTTCTGACCATTCTGTATTTCCTCTACCCTCAGCAAACATCTTATGAGGTCTTGGCAGGGTGACCCAAACTTTCATCCCTGAAGAAATATTATCATCCTGTGTAACACAAAAAAATAAATGACCCAGAAACTGATATTGGGGCTCAAACTTCAACTGAATATCAGAAAAGCAAAGCAGCTGGCCACTAGCTTCTTACCTCTACCTTAGGCTGAATGGCTGATCCTGTCTCCAGGAGCTCTCACCAAGCCTCAGACTATAACCTCTCCTCAGCGTGGCTGGAGAAAGAATTCCTCTCTGAGACCTTGTTTCTCTGTCTTATATACTTCCCTAATGTTGGGATTAAAGGTATGAGCTATAATTCTATTGTGCAGCTCTGGGTGGCCTTGAACTCACAGAGATTCGTCTATCTCTTAATCCTGAATCCTAGGATTAAAGGTGTGTACCACCACTTCCTAGTTTCTGGCTGCTGGGATTAAAGGTGTGTGTCACCACTGTCTGATCTCTATAGCTTGAGGCTGACTTTGCTTTCTGAATCCTTAGGCAAGCTTTAATAAATCATTAATAATATATCATTACAATCTTGTCTGGATTGGATTGTTGGAGTTTCCCATTGACTTTAACCACAGGACATGGTAACACCAAGAGATACCCTAAAAGATCTCCTGCAGTGCAGGCATAGCTTTCCTTCTATTGTGGATAAACTGGCCACCTACTTTTCCTCTGGAAGTTTGGATCAGTCACCCCTGTTAACACTCTCACACTTATCTTAGCCTGTTGATTCAAAGGAATGAGGAACCCAAATTGGCCAATTAGCTTCCGACTCAATGGATATTTTTCATATCTCTTGGCAGAAGCAGCCTCCCATCTGGAACCAAGTCATGTAAATCAGGAGAACATAAAGTTGTGTGAACAAGGAAGAAAACATTTTGCTAGTGGGCCACTAGAGGTGGCAACATTCTCATTTCTGCTCTTGCTTGATTCCTTAACTAAATCCCTGGTCATAAAAGAAACAATGCCATCTATCGGACACAGATTCAGAGCATAGATAGCCTTCTGGAAAAACTTTTCCAGCTGTCCAAATTCTTTCCATCCATTTCACTGTCACTGTGCCATTAAAAGGCCATTCTACCCTTCTTTCATCATCTATTTCAGGATGATGGGGGATGGTAAGACCACTAAATTTCATAATCATGAGCCCACTGCCTCATTTCCATGGCTGTGAAGTGCGTTCCTTTGTTAGCAGCAGAATTACGTGGGATACCATTTTGTAAATGAATAGATGGTAGCTTTGGCAGAAGCGTTACACACAGAATGGCAATTTCATAACTAGAGGAAGTATCTATTTCAGTATGGAAAAGGCACTGTCCATTCCATGATGGAAGTGGTTCAGGGTAGTCAACCTTCTCAGGTCACTAGCTGATCTCCTCTGGGAATGGTGTCATATTGGAATCTCAGTGTTGGTCTCTGCTGCTGGTAGATCTGTCACTCAATGGCAGCCATAAGCAGGTCAGCATTGGTGAGTGAAGCTTGTGTTGTTGAGCCTATTTATGACTTGCTTTCCTGACACCTTGTCCACTTTGGTCTTTAGAACCACTCCCGGCACCACAGTTTGGATTAGTCAAGGTTCTCTACAGGAACAGACTCACTACACAGTATTTCTGTGTGAACAGAGACTTAGTGGAATGACTCTCAACCAGTAGGAGCTGGGTAGACCTGAAATGATTGTCTGCACAGCAGACAGGCTGAGAGCCCAGGAGCTGCTCAGCTCACCGAGCTGGATCCTTAGCAGGAGTCTAAATTTACTGGGGAAGACTTAAAAAAAACTCAGGGAAAGTTTCTGGTCCACACTGAAGTTCAAAGATGCTGCAGTCTGATATCAATAAAGGATAGATACACTTACCAAAAGGTAATTAAGTCACTTCTTTCCCCCTTTGAACCTTTTTCTATCTGGGGCACTTGCTGGAAAGTGCTTCCCTTTCTGAGGAAGAATCTTCTCCTGGTTAATTCTTCCTGGAAACAGGTCTATAGACTCAGCCAGAGATACAACTCTTAGTTAATCCAGATCTGGCCAGGTTGGAAAGAAAGAGCAACCACCTCACTCTCTCGAGCACATCTGGTTTAGTTTTCCATCAGCGTTCAATTCTGAAGTTCCTGTTGATGGTGTTTCCCTTGACAGTCATTGGAAAACCTTGGCCGTGGATGAATGTAACCACCCATGTTTTCTGATGTCTTGATCACAGTGATAATGGACAGTTAGATGCCATGTAAGCTCCAGTCCACTCACCCCCATCACCCCACTGCTGCACTTCTCCAGCCTGCTCATTGTGTCGTAGCCTCAGGGGCAAAGAGTCTTCATCCATTGCCCCCTCTCTCTACCTGCTTCTTATTCTTGTCACCCAGGTGACATCCCAGTCCCGTTGGCTTTCTCTCCACAGCTCTCTGCTGTTCTGTGTCTAACGTTCTTCCAAGAGTCTCTTTTCATTGCTCTAGGATGACACTTCACCGGTCTCCCCTGATTTCCCTGTGAGCCCTTAGTGTCCACTTCTGGTCCTGCTTCTCCTGAACTTTCCACATTGGATCTCTTGCTGTCTTCTGTCCTCTGCCCCAAGGCTTCTTCCTTACACGGGATCCAGCACCTAAGTTAACATGTGTTTGTAAGAATGTGGGTTTTTTGTTTTGTGTTTTTTTTGTTTGTTTGTTTGATTTGTTTTGTTTTGTTGGTTTTTTTTTTTGATATAGGTTCTCTGTGTAGCCCTGGCTGTCCTGGAACTCACTTTGTAGCCCTGGGTGGCCTCAAACTCACAGATTCTCCTGCTTCTGCCCCCCAAGTGCTGGAATTAATTCTAACCTCGCTTCCCTTGTGAGCTGGGAACCAAGACTATAGGTATCTCCAAGCATCCTTCACTTCAAAGCTGCAGAGGCACTGGGCCAGTGCTGGGGAAAAGTTCTCTAGTTTACTCTAAGTTTAGATGAGTATTAAGGAGGGGGAAGATATTAGAAGAATCAGATGCAAAAAAAGTCAGAAAAAAACACACGGAAAGTCATAGGAGGGAAAAGAGAGAGGAAGAGCAGGCGAACAAAAGAGAGAGAAAATTATACAGACACACAAACAGAAAAAGTGGAACAGATAATTGGTGGTGAAATGTATACACAGATACACTCATACATGTAATTATATCTAATATATTTTACCTCTGTCATTTATCTATTATGTATCCCTATGCCCTTTATTATCTACTATGTATTACATCTATAAACCATTTTTGTTTCCATATTTATCCACATCAATTGTCTATCTATCTATCTATCCAGCTAAGAAACAGAGGTTGGAGAGATGGCTCAGAGCCCTTGCTGTTCTTGTAGAGAACCTGGCTTCAAAACTTAGCCCTCACATCAGGCAGCTGACATCTGCTTGGAACTGCATTTCCAGTGGATACAACACCTTCTTCTGGTCTACATGGGCATTTGCATAAAATATGTAGCCACACACATATACAAATAATAAATCAATAAATCTTAAGAAACAAAACCAGCCGGGCGGTGATGGTACACACCTTTCATCTCAACACTCAGGAGATAGAGGCAGGCAGATCTCCATGAGTTCAAGGCCAGCCTGATCTACAAAGCAACTTCCTGTGGTGATATATTGCTTATGATCTAATAAGCCACTGGAGGTCAAAATGCAAAGCCAGCCTCACTGGTTATCTATAGAACCTGGGCAATGGTGGTACACACCTTGAATCCCAGGACTCAGGAGACAGAGGCAGATGGATCTCTGTGAGTTCAAGACACTGGGATACAGGAGAGTGAATCAGTCTGACAGAGCTCATGCCTTTAATCCCAGCATTAGAGAGGAGCTCAGTGCAGTCTCAGAGAGCAGTCTGGTCTTTGGGTGGAGAGCATAGCAGTCTAGGATTCTGTGGCTTGGTGGAAAACAGTGCAGTCTGGAGATGTAATCTGAGGTTCAGTGGATCACTCCTTCAGTCTGAGCATTATTAGAGGTGAGAACTCTCTAGTGTCTGGCTGCTTTGCTTCTCTGATCGTCAGTGACTTTATTAGATCATAAACAATATATCACCACAAGTTCCAGGACAGCCAAGGCTATACAGAGAAACCCTGTCTCGAAAAACCAAATATATATTTATATATATACAAACACACACACACACACACACACACACACACACACACACACACACTTGTAGCAACAGAGAAAGAGGCATGTATATACAGAGACATGGATATAAAAAAAGGATGCACACAGTTTAACCCAGGTGGATTTAGCAAGAGCCATAGATGGATGAACCATTGAGAGGAGGGAGAGTGGTGTGGGATTTGATTGACAAGAGAATGGGAGCATCCCAGGTACTCTGTCAGGACTAGCCTTAGCCTTCTCCATCCCCAGATGCAGACCGATGAGGAAGGCATGCAGTTGTTGACTGAGTTGAGCCACTACTTTCGTGATGTCTACCTCTCTTGGTTTGGGGCCTTCTACCCCATCCTGAGGCTCTCCCACCCCAAGTTCATTGCTCCCGTGCTCCAGGCCCCAGGTATTTCTCCCAGGATCCAATTACTGGTCTGTTCCCTTCCTTTTCTCCAAGTCCTTTGCATCCCTTCACAGGCCAGGCTGGGCAGGGGAGGATGAAGCCATGTCTAACAGAAGCCACAGCCGCGCTACTCACCTGACTGACCCTGGATGAGGTTTTGGGTTTCTCCAGATAGTGAGGTCTGTTAAGTGAGTGATGGAAATTTGACCCAGTATGGTCTTAAGAATGAAAGAAAATCTGCTGGCTGGGGATATAGCTTTGTAGTGGGGTCCTTGTCTGCAATGTACAGGGCCTTGGGCTGCCTGCCAAGGCACTGAAATTAAAAAAAAAAGAAAAAAGAAAAGAGAAAAAAGAAAGAAACAACAACAGAAAACAACTAAAGAAATTTGCTGTCAGGAAAACCCAGGGAGAGTGATCTTTAAGCACAGTTGGATTCAAGTCTCAGCAGGATCTTTGTCTCTTAGTTCCACCTTCCTCCAGGATGATTGTACTCTCATCTTGGGAAAGATGACCCCTGATTGCTCAGCCCCTTGAAAAAAACCCCTGTGGGTGCAGGACGAGTTCTGGGACTCCCTTAACTTTCCCTCCTTTGGGTGATAGGACAGAGTCTTCATCCACCTCTGTGACTTGATGGCCTCATACTGTTTTAGACATAAAATGACAAGTAACCAGTACATCAATTCAGAGTTGCTCTCTTTTTGTTAAACACCTTTTTGTTTTGTTTTATTTTTTTTCTGAGACAGGATGTCTCTATGTTCTGGAACTCACAGGGATCTAACTGCCTCTGCCTTCCTAGTGCTGGGATTAAAGGCGTGCACCACCACTGCAAGCCTGTTTTGTGCATTCTTATATAAAAGCAAAGTAGAAAAGGGCACATGTGTCTCCATGGTGATTTCTTAAAATGAAAGGAAAAGGCTAGAAGATGAATGTCTTTTGCATACGTAAGGTACGATCTTTCCCTCCTTTTTGATCCTTGACAAAGCATCTATAGTAATGAAATAAAAATATAGATGGCTATAGTGTGCACCCCTTTAAGGCCAGAGTAGGGAGGCAGACACAGGCAGATCTCTGTGTGTTCAAGTCCCACTGGCCTACAAATTTATTTTTTCATAAACAAACAAACCCACTGAATGGCCGTTTCGTCGTAGGACTCAGAATATAGCATGGCCAAACATCATTACAATCATTCATCATGTTTATGTGGCCATTAGCATAATGAGATCAGTTTATCAGGACAATTCTCAAGAGGTTGTTGCCAGGAACCGAGGCTATGACATCCCTTCTAACAGAGCTCTGAAGTAGACCAGATAGACCAGAACTGAACAGAACAGAAAGGTTTAGAGTTCAGGAAATCGACGCTGAAAGAGGCACACAACACAGCAGAGATTCCACCCACCTTAGTTCAGTGTCTTAGGGTTGCTTCAGCCACTTCTGATGAAAGGGACCTTAAATTGGAAAGTGACTTGGGATGGGGAGAAGGTGTGTAGAGTACTTCAGGAAAGATCTGGATAGGTCCAACTGTGTCTGGCTGGCCCTGGAGCTGCTTGATGGCTAGAGGGGGTCGAGACAGTTTTTTTGAGGGGAGCACGTGGGACAGCATCCTGTGGTCTTTGAAGATAGGGAAACCCTTAGCTCTAAATTCTTAATGCTTAGCATGGTGTAAAGGATGACCCACGGCAGTCATGGGACATGTTTAGGGCACATTTAAATCCTATCTGGCGTTATCTGAAGGCCAGAGTTAGATCATGTGAGATTGCTGTATTCCAGTGCCAGACCATATTGTATCATTTCAGGGAAGATCATATATGTTGTGTTCATAACTGTCTCATGTGCAGGGTGTATCAGGACATGTCAGAGAGCTGAGATGGACAGTGTGTCCCAGGTCTCTGTAAAAGCATTTATAAAGGTGTTGTACTGGGTTTAGATGTGGAAGATGTGGTGGGCCATGTAGCAGCCATGTGAAGGCATTTTGGGGCATGCTATGCCTCAGGTTGATGTTGGCTCTCCCTGCTGCTGCAGCCTGGTCTAGCCCCATCTCACTCCTTCCTCCTCCCTGCTGCCTTTGTCCATGTCCCCTTCCTGCCTTGCTGGCCCCTGATTGTTCTTCACGGCAGCTGCGGTGGCCCCTAAGGAAATGACTTTCTACGGCTTCCTGAAGCCATGGTTGGGTGAGTACCTCAGGGTCAGGGTCAGGAGACACCACTGTGGGCCCAGAGAAAGGTGTCACCCTTGCCCACTGCCATGGCTGCCCTCCTAGGGGATGGGCTGTTATTGAGTTCTGGTGACAAATGGAGCCGCCACCGTCGCCTGCTGACACCCGCGTTCCACTTTGATATCCTGAAGTCCTATGTGAAGGTTTTTAATAAGAGCGTGAACATCATGCATGTAAGTTTGTGTGGGATAAGTTATTTATGATGAAATATTTCTAAATGTATACATACGTTTTTATGTGTATTGGGTATTTTGCCTGCATGTATGACTATGTATTCCTAGTACTTGTATGTCCAGAAGAGGACATTGGATCTCCTGTCACTGGAGTTATAGGCAGTTGTGAGTCACTATATAGGTACTGAGACTCAAACCTGGGTCCTCTGTATGAGCAACAAGTGCTCTTAGCCTCTGATCCACTTCTTCAGGCCCATATGGGATAATTTCTGTAGCCACATACCAGTGGACATTTATTGAGCACCTACTATACATCAGAAATACTATGCCAGTTCCGTGATCTATGTTGTCTGTGGTAATTTCCGAACTACCCTGAGGTAGAGGTGACTATGACAGTTACATTATGGAAGATGAACTTGGGACCATAGAGGTCAGGGAGGGCATCCAAGTTCGTCAGCAGTAAGTGTGAGTGGTGGAGCAGGTATTGAAGTATTGCTTAGGGGGCAACAGATGAGGTGAAATTAATTGTTGTTGAAGGTTTAACAGGTGGGAACTAGGAGAGGGAAATTCGCTGACCAAAGGCACAGAGACATTAGACTTGAACTCAAGGTTTCTGACTCTCAGCCTTGTGTCTTCTCCCACCTGAGTCTGGCTTATTATGGAAGCAGAGGACCAAGTGCGCTCTCTCTCTCTCTCTCTCTCTCTCTCTCTCTCTCTCTCTCTTTGTGTGTGTGTGTGTGTGTGTGTGTGTGTGTGTGTGTGTGTGTGTGTGTGTGTGTGTGTGTGTGTGTGTGTGTTTGTGCATGTATGTATGTGTCCACCCCAGTGTTTGGAGTTGGAGAGGGGCTTAGAAGCCAGGGATGGTTTTTCTTTCTTCTTTGGCCAGGCCAAGTGGCAACGCCTGACCGCCAAGGGCAGCACCCGTCTGGACATGTTTGAACACATCAGCCTCATGACCTTGGACAGTCTGCAGAAATGTGTCTTCAGCTTTGACAGCAACTGTCAGGAGTGAGTCACTGTCTTTGTCTAGGAACCTGAGCCATGGACCAAGGGAAGAGGTTGGGGAGGGAGGAGCTGGCTAGAGGGAGCAGAGGGGACTCCCTGGAGGAGGTGGTGAAAACTGACATTGAAAAACAGTGAAGAGAGAGAGAGAGCCAGGGAAGTAGGGCTGTTTGGATAAATACAAGGAGGGGGTTCTTGTCACTATCTGAGAGAAATGACTGAAGGAAGAATGGCGATGCTAGCTCCGGGTTTCAAAGGTTTCAATCCATCATGGTGGGTGGGGAAGGGCATCACAGAGTCCCTCCCACTAAGAAGGCTGAGAAGTGGTTTGGGAGAGATAGTCTGTCCTAGCAAGCTTCCTCCTCTGTTTCCTGTTCTTCCTTCTGGACTCCTAGCCTGTGGAATGAGACTGTCCACACCAGCATTTCCCTCTTTCAGAGCTCGGCCAATGCTTAGAGAAACGCCCTCCTAGATGAACACAGAGATGCGCTTTATGAGGGCTAAGGCTATGACTCCGTCAGTAATGTGCTTGCCATGCAAGGCCAATGACGTGAGTTCTGCTCCCTAGCTCCCCATCAAAGCAAACCAGGGTGATTGATATCTGTATTTCTGTGCTGGAGGGAGGTTTAGATGGGGAAACCCTGGGGTTCATAGGTTAGTAGTAAATGACCTTCCAGTTCAGTGAGAGACCTTTCCTCGAAACCAAGATGGAGTGCATTAAAGAAGATATGAGATGTGAACTATGTGAACTTCTGTACTCCACATGCCAGTATTCTCATGTATACCAGCACATGTACATGAGACAACTACACAAACACACACACACACACACACACACACACACACACACACACACACACACACACAATTAAAACTAAGCACTTCTTAATCCAATAGAGGTTAATAATCACAAGGAGTCTACAAAGAGAGTTCCAGGACAGCCAGGACTACACAGAGACCCTGTCATTGAAACAACAACAAAATCCCAGGGAGTTAAGAGTGCCCCCTGCTTCTCTTTTTCTCCGGAATCAAACAGAGTTAAACAGTGCCCCGCCCCATTGCCTTTCTGTGTTACTTACCTTTCTGTCACTGTTAGAAAACACTAGGATCTTCTAGAAGGAACAGTAGATTTGGGGTTACAGTTCTAAAATAAGAAGTCCGTGCTGTCAAGGAAGGCATGGCAGCAGCCCGATGAAGCAGGAAACTGCCTGATCGCATTTCAACTGCCCCTAGGAAGCAGAGAGCACAAACTGGAAGTGGGGCAAGGGTACCACTTCTCAAAGTCCCTTCCTCCAACAAGTATCTCATCCTAAAAGTTCCATAAGCTCCCAAAGTGCCATCAGCTGGGGAACAAGTGTTTTAATGCATGAGCCTCTAGGATACATTTCTCTTCAAACCATCTTCCTTCCTTCCTTCCTTCCTTCCTTCCTTCCTTCCTTCCTTCCTTCCTTCCTTCCTCTCTCTCCCCTTCTTTCTCTTTTTCTTTCTCTTCTGTCTTTCTCTTGTTCTCTCTCTTTCCCTCTTTCTTCCTTTCTTTCTTTTTCCTTCCCTCCTTCCTTTTCTTTGTTAATGACATGTTACTATGTTGTCTGGGCCACCTTGGAATTGAGTGGGTTCTTCAGGCTGGACTTGAACTCATGATCTTCCCTCCTGGGTATTGGGATTGTAGTCAGAAGCCACCATGTTCATTTAGTGGGCAGATTTTAAGGATGTTGTATACCCAGCAAGAAGGGCACAAACTCCATTCTGAGTTTTCCAAGGAGTCATGAGGTATTCAAGCAGTTGGGAATTATAGTGATGTCTGAGACTGGACAATTGACCCGGTAGAGGAATGTCATGTAGACATAGGATGCAAGGGACCTGAAGAGGAGGATATGGATTTGATACAGAAAACAGGACAGATTTGCAAGAAATCAGGAAAGAAAAGACAGAGCAGATGCTAAGAGAAAGAAAAAGGGCAACAACCGTATTTACCTTCGAATCCTGGGTTGCCAGGCTATTCTTGGGAAGTAGGAAGCAGGAGAGGTGAGCCTGGCTAGAGCCCTTTTCTGGATCAGTCTTGGTCCTGAGACTCTGGCTGGAACTTGTCTGGGTGTCTATGTCTCTCTGGCCTGCCCTGCAGGTCTCCCAGTGAATACATTGCTGCCATCTTGGAGCTCAGCTCCCTCATAATGAAACGGCACCGGCAGCTCCTCCTGTATGTGGACTTCCTGTACTACCTCACTGCTAATGGGCGGCGCTTCCGCAAGGCCTGCGACCTGGTGCATGACTTCACAGATGCTGTCATTAGAGAGAGACGCCACACCCTCAATAGCCAGGGTGTTGATGAGTTCCTCAAGGCTAAGACTAAGTCTAAGACTTTGGACTTCATTGATGTGCTCTTGCTGGCCAAGGTGGGCTTTTGTGGGATCTCATCTGAGACCTTAACTAAGAACCTTGACATTAAATGTTAGATAGAAGCTGGACTTGATCAAGAGGGTATCTGGGAAACAATAGATGGTGCTTATGATAACTAAGGACAGGATATGCAGACATTATAGATGTGACTTTGCTGAACACTGTGGGAGGAGAAACAACAGCAGGAAATTACGGAGGAAACTGCAGGGAAGGGCTCTGGAAAGGGCAGGGAAGGCATTCTGTGTGCACAGTGGGCGTCAGTCAGCATCAGCAGCCCTCAGACATGGCATGAGTTGAGGGTCCTGTTTTTTGTTCTCAGGATGAACATGGAAAGGAGCTGTCAGATGAGGACATCCGGGCAGAAGCTGACACCTTCATGTTCGGTGGTGAGGGTCCCCGTGTGGGACTACACTGAGGGTAAAAATCTATCAATCCCAGTTAGGTATTTTGGGGAGACAGCAAATCCCTTCATTCCATCCATCTACCCTTTCGTCATATTTCCTTGGGGCATGGATGCCCAAGTACTGTTCACTCTGAGGTGCTAAAAAAGTGTAGATAGCCAGAACTTCCTGTCTGCCTCTCAGGCCATGACACCGCAGCCAGTGCACTCTCCTGGATCCTGTACAACCTGGCGAGGCATCCGGAGTACCAGGAGCGCTGCCGGCAGGAGGTGCAGGAGCTGCTGAGGGGCCGAGAGCCTCAGGAGATTGAGTGGTGAGCACAGGTTTAGTGCCATGAATATAGCTGTGAACCAGGATGGCAGTTGCTATTTTTGACTTGTAAAATTCCATTGCTTTATTTATTTGTGTGTGACTGTCTGTGTTGGGCATGTGCATGTGCCAGGTACACACGTGGAGGCCAGAATTGGTCTCTCCTACCGTGTGGGTTCTACGGCTGAACTCAGGTGGTCAGCCGCAGCAGCAGGCTCTTGCCCTAAGGAGCCACCTCCTTGCCCTACTTTTGGTGTTTTTGGTCTAGTTATGTAGTTAAAGCTGTTCTGGAACTCACCATTCTCATCTCCTGTGTCTACCTCTTGGGATCACCTGACCAGCTTGGACATCACTTCTTAAATCTCTACTCTCTGGCCCCCGGCAATTCCTGGACTATATTCTCCACTTTTTTCTTGGGCTATGTGTCCTTTGTTTGCTGATTTGCAAGAATTACACACACACTCACACACTCACATACACTCTCCCACACACACTCACACTCACACACATACTCACACACACAAACACACACTCACACACACACTCACACACTCATACACACACACACACACACACACACTCACACACACACTCACACACTCATACACACATTCTCACATTCACACACACTCTCACACACACTCACATCCACTCACACATATCATGGTAGTAGATAGACAGAGGATCATGGACATCTCTGAATCACTCCTTTGAATACTATTGTGGTTTGTGGTGTCTCACGATGTATAGATTTTTCAATTTTGTAAATAATATACTCCCCTTCCTTTCTGGTCTTTAACCTCAAGCTTTCAGGGTTCTAAGAATTTCTGCTGTTCTGTCACAAAAAGTTGCTTATGCTATCTTATTTGGATTTTGTAGGCTTTCTGTCCCCCTTAATCAGTCTGATAATGGGTGGGCGAAGAATTGATAAGTGGGTACAGAATTGCAGATAGTTATTGGTGCTCTCCACAATAGCCCCATCGTAGTTAACAATAGCCCCCCAAAAATAACAAGTCTTGGAAATGCTAGAGGTAATACTGAACATTGTCAGTCCAGTTTTTCAGATGTGGTGGAAAACTCCATCCTCTAGTTAGAACAGGGAAACATTTCTTTTTACTTACTTTAAAAAGGATTTTTTTTGGTTGATGTTTGGGTGTGGATATGTACCCATGAATGTGGGTGCCCTCGAAAGCCAAAAGGTGTCCAATGCCCCGGAGCTGGAGGAACAGGTGGTTGTAAGCTGCATTTGTGGGTGCTAGGAAGTGAGACCAGGTCATCTAGAGTGGTTGTGAACACTCTTACCTTGTTGAGCAGAGTCTCTTAAAGCTCAGGCAGGCTTTCAATTCAGTGGATAGCCTAAGCTAGCCTTAACAGTTTGATCCTCCACCTTCTCAATCTTGAGTGCCTCCACTTATTTTTTAAAGGTCTTTCACGTAAATATTTGAAAACATTTAAAGATATCCTCTTTTTTGGTAAAGAGGTGGCACATATATTTTTAAGTTCAACACTTGGGAGGCAGAGGCAGGCGGAGCTCTGAGTTTGAGGCCAGCCTGGTCTACAGGTAGTTCTAGGATAGCCAAGGCTACATAGTGACACCTTGTCTGAAAAACAAAACAAAAATCTATAAAACAGGGCAGAGGACATGGCTTAGTGGGTAATGTACTTGCTGGTAGCATGAGGACATCAGTTTGAATTCCTAGATCCATTTAAAAGGCTACCCCAACACTGAGGCTCAGGGAGCGGGAGATCAAATTGTGCTGGCCAGCCAGTCTAACCTAAATATGCAGTTCTTATGATCTGGGAGAGTCACTGTCTCATAGCAGATGTAGAGGGAAAGAGGAAGATGCCCAAAGCTGACAACACAGCACACACACACACACACACACACACACACACACACACACAGAACTAGAAATAATAAAATGAACAAGTGTTTTAGATTCATCTAAGCTAACTTTGTTATAGGACTTACGGTCACAGGGAGGCAGTTAGGGTTTCCACAAGTGGCGGTGAGGCTGGTCACTACTATGTATGCATTTACGTGTGTGTGTGTGTGTGTGTGTGTGTGTGTGTGTGTGTGTGTGTGTGTGTACATGCAGTCCACGGTACATGTGTGGAAGTTAGAAGCCAGCTCTTGAGCGTTGGTTCTCTCCTGTCTCCTTATGTGGTCTGGTTGAATTGAGGTCGTCAAGCATGGGTGCTAGTCCTCTACTGCTAAGTCACCTAGCAATCCCGGGTGCTGTTATTACTCCCTGGATAACTGTGTGGCGTGTTCCTCAGGGACGACCTGGCCCAGCTGCCCTTCCTCACCATGTGCATCAAGGAGAGTCTGCGGCTGCACCCTCCAGTTATCTCCATCTCTCGCTGTTGCACCAAAGACATTGTGCTTCCCGATGGCCGGGTCATCCCCAAAGGTGTGGACTTTATGCGGAGGTGGTTGGCTCCTGGTTGTCCCCAGTAGCAGCGCTGACTTCCTCTTGTCTGCCCCTTCTTGTCCAAAGGGAACGACTGTATCATCAGCATCTTTGGGGTTCATCACAACCCTTCAGTCTGGCCAGACCCTGAGGTGCGACCCTCACCCCCCAATTCTGGAACCTCGGGAGGGGTATGGCTCTTATCTGGGAAACCAGAACTGTCATTCTTCTGTCTCATAGCCATCGTTTCTGGGGCTGGCTGGGTGTGCAGAAAGACATGGCCCATCAGCTTAGTCTTGTTTGGCCCGCAGGTCTATGATCCCTTCCGCTTTGACCCAGAAAACTCTCAGAAGAGGTCACCTCTGGCTTTTATTCCCTTCTCTGCTGGGCCCAGGTGAGGCGAGAGGGCTTAGGGCTATAGAGAGTGATGTGGGCTGACAGCGGGATAAGGGGAAGTTGGAGTGGTTAGGTTCTGGGTCTCCTTGCCGCCCTCTGCTCAGGGTATGTACAAAGGTCCAGAGAGCCGGGTTGGAAGGTGAAGGGTGGGGGCCCTGAGCTCAGGGCCACGCCCTGGTCTGTATTTGGTGCTGAGTCTGACAGAGCAGGCTACCCAGGAGCGTCAGGGACCTGGTCAAATTCAAACCTTGGAGCCTGGCTGGGTTCCGGTGCAGCCAGAGTCCCCACCCCGCCCTTCCGCAGGAACTGCATAGGACAGACTTTCGCCATGAACGAGATGAAGGTGGCGCTGGCGCTGACACTGCTGCGTTTCCGCGTCCTGCCCGACGACAAGGAGCCCCGCAGGCAGCCGGAATTGATTCTGCGAGCAGAGGGCGGGCTGTGGCTGCGGGTGGAGCCGCAGAGCACCGGGGCACCGTGACTGGGTCTGGACTGCCCCACCCACTTTCCTCTGAGGATCCCGAATAAACAGAACCTCAGCAAAAGACAGCAGGGGGCGCTGCAGGACAGCGGAGAACCACTAGTGACCTGGAGGAGAAGAGGTGGGGCTGGTTTCCTCCTGATCACCCACAGGGCCCCCAGGCTGCTGGAAGTTGTACCCAAGCTCAAACATCGACTTTATTCTTTGGGCGACAAGCCACCATTGATATTTGAGCAGGAGAGGCACATGCAGGTTTGAGGCTCTGTGAACCAAGCCATTAGCTATGGTTTTCGTTTTTCTTTTTGACTCCTATGCAGAGTCAACTGCATAGGATAAGCTGGCCTCACACTAGCAGCAAACCCCTGTCCTCACCTCCTGAGTGCTGCGATTAGAAGAGGGGGCCACTGTGCCTGGCCTGGCATATCTGAAGGGATAGTTGTAAAAACAAAGTAGAGTTTCTCAGGAGAGAAGGCTGGGAGCCCTTTTGAATGATGTTAAATGATGTTCGAGGCTTGTGATGTCCAAGACCACTAAGGCAGATTAAATTTAAAATGAAATCACACTTGCAGGCTCCCTGTGTGGTGGTGTTCTTCTAGGTTCCCACTGATTCCTTTTGGGGCTGAGAGGTGGCTCCGTGGGGGACACAGGAGGATCCTAGGGCTTCACAAGCCAGCCAGTCTTCCTGAATCAGACAGTTCCAGCTTCAGTGAAAGATTCTGTCTCATGAAATAAAGTGGACAGTAATGAATGAAGACTCCTGGCATGAGTCTCTGGCATCCTCATGGCATGTCTTTGTGTGCCCTGCACACACATTCCCTTTTCTATCATTTCCAGGATTTGATTTTCCCCACTCTACCAGGCAACCATTAAACACAGTTGGAGTTGGAGAGTAGCTTGGGCTCTATAGAAAGTTGAGGCCAGCATTGAGAGACCTTGCCCAAAACTAAAAAAACAAACAAAACTAGAGTGTCTCTTTGACTTCAGAAATGACTTTAGAGCAAAAATTGGCACTTTTTTTTTATTTCTACTGTTCCGTTCTTGATTATAGAGTGTCCTTGTGTTTTTGGCAGCACTCTGGTTGAAGCCCAGGTCCTGTATGCATTAAGCAAGTTCTCCACTGAGCTACATACCTTGCTTTTTCTATTTCATTTATTTACTTATTAGTGGTGTGTGTGTGTGTGTGTGTGTGTGTGTGTGTGTGTGTGTGTGTATGCCAGAGGGCAGCTTAGGTGTTGATATTTAGGAATGCTGTCCACCTCCTTTTAAACAAGGTCTCTCATTGGCCTGGAGCTCACCATAGGCTAACCTCATTGGCCAGGGAACTCTGGGAATCTTCTTGCTCCTGCTTTCCCAGCGATGAGAGTACAGGTGCATACTACTTCATACCCAATTTTATGAGTGTTCTAAGGATTGATCCCAAGACTTCCTGCTGAAAATGCAATCACATTGTTCATTGAGCCATCTCCCCTGACCCTTAAGTGAGATTTTAAATGAGCATGATCTGTTTCCTCTAGTGACTCCACTCTGGATATTCAAGCTGATAATTACTCTTGGTTTTATAGTGTTTAGAGCACAGTCACCCACATCAGAAGATGGGAAAGCTGGTCATGATGTCCCACATTTGTAATCCCAGCACTTGTGGAGAAGAGACACATGGATCTTTTTGAGTCCAAGGTCAGACTCATCGACATAGTGAGTTCCTGGAGAGCCAGGAATATTTAAAGAAAACTTGTCTCACACCCACCCCAAAATAAACATGAGTGGGGAGCATTACTCATCACCAACAGGTCTTGGACTTTGGAAAAAATAGAGGATGCAGGTGACCTTTGGGTTTGACTCCCTTGGGAATGTTCTGAGTATAACCCTTGTCTTTGAGGAAGAGTACACAGTAGGTATTTATGGTAGACACTGGTGAACTATCCCCATGACTGGTAATTGTGTAATTTTAGGTCATCATATTCTAATGATTTCCGTATTTTTATAGAGTGTCTTGAAAGGATAATGGGAAATGTGAAACTGTACTTTTATTTTTTAATAATTTTTGGATTTCCTATGCCCTTTGTGTTTTCATATAAATTTCACAATCAGTGTATTTACTCATACAAATGGCCCTGCTGTGATTTTGAGTTTTCAGTAAATTAAAGGAACAGATTGAGGAGAATCACTGCCTTACCATTACTGAGCCATCATGCCCATGAACATTGTGTACCTCCACATACAATATTGGGTTATCCTGGATTTCTTTCATCTTGACCTTTTCATCAAATATATACTACATCTATTTGTTTGACTTTCATAGTGTATCTGTAGGGAGCCGGTTCCTGCATTATCCATTACAATAATGGTGCCTGAAGACACCAAGATGTAAATTACTTCACAGGCACTGGGTAATCTCCATTCCTTTGATCTCTGCCTATCCTGTGGCTCATTTGGCCTGAGGAGCTGAAGCCATTCATAGGGTAACACGTCCCAGGCGGCGGCTGGCCAGCCTTTATTAGGGATGGGTTTCTTAGTTCAGTGTCTCCGCTCTGGTAAGCTTAGGCATTAAAGCTTGTCTGCAGAAGGATCCGAGTGTCCTACATGTATTTCTTGCCGGCCGAGAAAATACAGCGTGCGCGGGACATATGGTGCCGAAACCCGGGAACATGTGAACATCGCCGGCACTGCGGAGATCCCTCTAACGGGGCGGATTCAGAACTGCAGGGTGGTAAATTCGGAGAGGTATGTTTTTTCTGGACTTTGGCTTGGGAATGTTGCTATGTTGGGAGGTTAATATAGAGGCTTCTGTGCTTTTACTAGGAGCTATTTTGACCTTTCTCACTGTTGTAACAATCTTAAAGAAGTCCAGAATTACATATCAGAAACCGAATGTGGTGAGAGATGGGGCGCGCCCAACAATAAAATATAAGGAAAAAGGACCTCCCGGGATGTCTAGTGACAAGGGAGTGAATAATTTGTTAAGAGAAACAACAACAAATAAGAAAAAAGGACCTCCTGGGATGTCTACTGACAAGGGAGTGAATAATTTGTTAGATGATTCT